GGGTGCAGGTGTACGTCCTTCCTACGAGATCGTTAGGCAAGGTCAACACGTGAAATACACATACCTCTGGGAGCAGCGAAGCCACGTGTCGGGATGTGCCACGATCGGCAGCAAGAATGTGGCCTGCGGGATTGTTACTGAAAAGATGGAAACAATCGAAACATCCAGTAAAGAAACAGGCAGAGAATTTTTCATAGCTGTACACGAGACAAGACAACAGGTTTAAACCGTTACAAATAGCGGGGTCGATACATATTTGTTGATATGTGAAAGTATCCATAATGTTTTGCTATGTGGAAAAGCGACAAAGCTGCACGTATTACGTGGTCCCAAATACGTAAGATTCCTAGGGACGTGTGTAGACAGGCCGAGCGATGTCCCCAGAGAAGTCACGCGATGGATGTCAGGCGGCATTCACTTTCATCATTTTGTGTGAGCTGTGTGTGCGCACATGGGTGTGATGTTTCCAAAGGCTGAGAGCATTTTTACACACACACACACACACACACACACACACAGCTATTTACATACACATGTATGAAAAGACTCGGAAGCCTAATCACTGAAATGGGTCATTTCTTGACGTACACACACACACAAAGCTATTTACATACACATGTATGAAAAGACTTGGAAGCCTAATCACTGAAATGGGTCATTTCTTGACGATGAGATGACAGTGATTTTCATTTTTTTGCTTACAGGTATGTTCCACAATAATGTGTTCACTTTAAAATCAGAAAAAAAGGCATTAAGCATATTCTTTTTAAACAACAAAACATCCTTGTCTTCAGGAATTCTTAGTTTTGTGAAAGAAAAATGGAAACAAAGTAAAGTACAATGGTGGCCATGGTGGCTATGTCCCCGGGAGCGTAGACACCAAAGCACCAGCAGGGGACAGCACGGAGGCCTTCCAAGGGGATGTGACATGGCATGCCCAGTCACAGAAGGCGAGAAGGAGCTTTCATAATGGAGAGAGGGAGACAAAGGTGTTCCACGCAGAGAGAACTCCTTTCCACCAAATTACTCTAACTGGTCTGTCCTTGGTTCCCAGGGTGAATATAGAAATCCACTTATTTTCCATTTTCTACAAAAACTGTTGTTGAGGACATTGGTCCCACGTTATTCTGTATCCCTTGCAGCACAACTCACATGACAAAAGCTTCTGAACGTTTACTGCCAAGAAGATTCTCTTGCTCAAAAAAGAGGACGTGCTTCTTCCCACCAAACAACACGGTTGTTACGGAATTCGCTTTGCCTTTCCCGTTACCAGGAGGCTCAGGGGGAAGCCGTGTCTGTGTGCAGTGAGCGCCTTTCCTGGGTTCCTGATAAAAGTCTGTCTATATAGACCGCGAAAAGAGAGAAAACGTCTTCTAATGTGAGTTTCCTCCATCACAGCAGGCTGGTGCACAGGCTGATTTCTCGTCGGAAGGAAACACAGGATCCAGAAGATGGTGGCTGTGGGTTTTCTCAGCTCTGCTAACAGGGGTACAGGGGTACGCCTCCAACTGTGGCCTTCTGAAGCACGGGAGAGGAGTTCACTACATGCAACAGATGCCTTCGGGCAGCGGGCCTCAAACTTTAAAGGGCATCAGTCACCTGGAGGGCTTATTAAAACAGACCCGCTGGCCCTGTCCTCAGAGACTCTGATTCAGTAGCCCTGGGAGGGGCCCGTAATTTGCATTTCTAGCAAGTTCTCCCGTGATGTTGATGCGTTGGTGCTGGAACCAACTGAGTCACTGCTCTCAGGATTCGTTCAATTTTTCTCACTGCAGGTGGAGAGGAGTCACTGGGTGACCCTGAGCCATTGGGTGACGCTGAGCCACCTGAAATTCAATGGAACATGGACCGTGCACGAGTGTCATGGGAGCCAGGGAGGCCCCCGCAGCTGTGAGCAACTGCTGAAACTTTCACAGTGACCACGACTACTGGGATGTTTGAATTTTGCTTCTTGTTTTAATTTACTTCTTTTCGGCAAATCTAAATCAGCAAAGAGCTAGATCTGGCCTGTTCCCATTTTCTAACCTCTTCCAAATTTTGAAGTCATTGGCTTTTACTGCAGTAGAGAGAGAAAAGTGATTTAGGTTTAAAAGCAAAAGCTTAAATTGAATTCTAGTTCCAATTAACTGAATGGAATGTTGGCGCGGGAAGAGAGAAGGAATCGGCATCTTTGGGGTCATCGTGGCTTGTGTTGTGGGGAAGATAAGAAAGCAATTCTAACGCCTCAAGGAGAAAACTGCATCTTAGTGAGAACTGAAGGACAGATGGAATTAAAGGGCAAAGATGACCCAGAAAGTGGCATGTGGACAGAAGAGCGAGGATGACGGGAGGTAAGACCACCAGGAAACAAAGACGGGTTCGTGTGCACCTGCGTGTGGGACGTACAAGCAGCATCGCGTGAGAGCGGGAACGGAAGGGCCTGGACTCTCAGCTGAGGAGTTTAAACACGGTTCGTAAGGAGAGTGTTTCTCAGATGGGAAGCCCAGACGTGTCCTTCAGGGATCGTGGGCAATGAGAAATTACACATCGCACACTTGAATTTTAATTGGTAAAAGACTCATAAGATTTAAATAGCCTCCCTATACCTGAATACTGCCACTTTAACTCCGGGGTTCATGTTTGTGTTTGGAACCATGTTGGTGCCAGGCAAAAACCAGATGATATCACAACTTGTCATATAAATGGTCTTCACATTCATTCGCATAATCGGAGTTGCAGACAAGGTGCATTTTTACTATTTTGCTCAGTTCCATGCAAATACATTTGAAAACTTAGAGTGTATAATTTTCTAATAATATAAATTATTAAAACTGATTCCAGAAAAGATAGAAAAGCTAAGCACATCAAATTTCATAGAGGAAATGAGGAACTTGTCAGATGCGCCCCTCAAGAGGTCCAGGGGGCATTATAGGGGAAAGTCTACCAATTCCTTAGAGTATAATTCCAATTCTTTTTAAGCTGTTCTTTTAAGAACAGCTTAAAAGAAAAAAAAAAATCTTCCAAGTTCTGTAAAGCTACTATAATACCATAAAATCTACAAAGACCAGAACCGCACCCCCTCCCCAAAACTCAGGCCAATATCACTTATATTTATGCAAAAATCCCAAATAAGAGCAAACAGAACAAGCAACATATCTAAAAAATAATACATCCTAACCATTTGGTATTTATTCTAGAAAGATCATAATTAAATAGTTAAATGGATTATTAATAGCAATCCATTAGAGAATGGAATAACATTATTCACCAAATTAACTGACCTAAGTAGGGAAAAAGATTATTTCCATAGATATTGAAGATATCTGACAAAATTCAGCTACCAATTTTTCATTAAAAAAAAAAAAAAGCACCGCTCAATAAAATATGAAGTTGAATACTTTAACCTGATAAAATATTTCTCTCTCAGCCCAAAAGTCAGCATCATGCTTAATGGGAACCACTAAAGGTCTTTTCGTTAAAGTCGGGAATGTGACAAATGTGACAGTGATGTTATTGAAAACTGTTAATTCATGACCACAGAGCTCAATGGAGCCCTCAGGGCTGCCCTGCATTTCTCCAGTCCATTTCCTCCCCACCCTCCTACACATTTCTACACCTTCTACTCTTCTCAACAAACCTCGGACACCTCCTTTCCCAACCCACTCACAGTTGAGGATTCTGTTTCCTAATCTGCGGAGATGAAGGCAATCAGCCTTGCAGACTTGCTCCCCCGCCAGGTACCCACTTAACCAGTGGGGCAGCCACGCACTGTGCCCTCCCATGGCAGACAAACATCCGTGCCCTCGCGTAAAGCCGAGCCCCACACTCGCGCCGTAGACTCCATCGCATCTCGCCCCGCCCCCCGCCCAGGGACTTGGCTCCAACAATTCTCCGTCTCCTACGCCGTTGGCCCTTTCGCCATTTGGTCATCCCATCACCAGATGCCACTGCTTCTTCTATTTTGAAACAACAAAATCTTGACTCCGCTTTGGCTACTAGCAACTGTCTCATTTCTCCGCTCCCATTGCAGCAAAACTCCTTAAAAATAGTTCTATTACCCACATCGTTCCACCAAAACTGCTATTAAGATGACCAATGACCTCCACAGTGCCAAACCCAGTGGTCTTTCTCAGTCTGCCCTTCCTTGACCCATCAGCAGTGTGTGATGCATCTGATCACCCCCCTCCTCCTCGATTCATTTTCTTCACTTGGCTTCCAAGACACCGCACTCCTGACGTCCTATAGACTCAGCAACCACACCTTCCCATTCTGTCGCCAGCTCCTCTTCCAGAGCTCTCATTGTCACTGTGGTTCATTCCGTGGTCCGCTTTTCTTCACCTCTCTAATCCAGTCTCCTGGCTCTAAATAGCCTCTAATATGTTGAAGACTCCCACATTCTCTCTAGTAAAGATTTCTCTCTGTTTCAAATGTGTATGTCTAACTGCCTTCCTCATGTTTCTCCTTGGATGTGTAAGTGATCTCAAACCATCCGATACTGCAATCACAATCTTTCCCCTCGAACCCTGCCCGACCTGCAGGGTCTGGCTCCTCGGTTCATGGCCTCTCTGCCCCTCGAGTTGTCCAGGCCAAAAGACTTGCCGTCATCCTCAACGCCACGCTTCCTCTCACTTGCCAAAGCTAACCCACTGGGAAATCTTCCACCTTCGAAAAAGGAGTGAGGACGTGACAGCACGAACCAAGACAAGGAGCATGGTGTATGTGAAAGTCACAAAGGGACAGATGTCACTGGAATCGAAGACCCTATATGGAAATAATAGTAGATAAGGTTCTACTATCAGTAGATAAGGGGAAGAGACCGAGTTCGCGTCATGTGGGTACCAAAGCCAGGCAGAAACGGGCTTTAGTGTGCTGCTTCCTAAATCATGGGAAGTCTCCCGCGTTTCCCACCCATCCGTATGCCACCCCCGACACACAGACACGCACAGACACAGCTAAAGAAAACCAGTCTGACTGGTGTTAAGTCCCAGAGTTTGAAAGAAAGAGGCAGTGAACCTTAAGAGTAACAATCTAAATCTTTAATTACCAATTTGGACCTTTCAAATTCCAAATCAACATTTACACACTTATTGCCATGTCATAGTTTTTACTTATAGTACTTTTTTCTCTTCTGGGACCTTGTAACGGCCCCTCCAGCACAATGCTTCTCTTACACGCTCCGTCATTCGTGGACCTTCTCAGTCTCTCGATGTGTGTGTAGTTTTCCATGCTTGATTTGATCACATATTGCACTTTATATTTCTTTGGGCCAATTCCTTGTGATGTCATCTTCTTTCCTGTGTGCTGCTTACTGTACACTGACGATATCCATCTGACCTCAGACCTCATCAGAAGGTCAAAAGCTTCTTTACACGGAAAAACACCTCACTCCCGCCCTACACCAAGTGGCTATAACCAGTCCCTACAACTATTTCTAATGCAAGAATTGTGCATCCTAAAGATATTTTATAATCCTTATTCTGGTAAACTTATTAATTTATATAATGTCAAATGTCAGAATTTAAAAAAAAATCTCTCAGGGAGGTTATGAACAGGATGCTTAACTACTATTCTCAATTATTAAATTTAAATCTATCACTTGAAATATGGTTCTAGAAAATGTTGACAACAGATTCAATGAAAATTCAACTCATTAAAAATGTAGAGATAGTACAACATAAACAAAGAGGACTTTTCAAGGCTTCTACTGAGGCAGTAATACCATAATGGTTAAGAACCCAAACTTTGATAACAAAAAGACTGGGTTACGAACCTAATGCGATTTTGGGCAAGTGACTAAGTTTGTTTCTAAAACTGTAGAATGAGAGGTAGATGTTACTATAAGGGCAACGATGAGGGGCCCTTGTGATGGAATTGTTCTGTATCTTGACTCGATGTCAATATCCAGGTTATATTTTACTATGGTTTTTTTCAATGTTATCATTGAGAACTGAATGAGGGGTATATAAGAACTCTATTTTTCTTACAACTACATATGAATCTATAAATTATCTCCAAAAAATAGTTGAAAGAAGTTATTTGCAAAGTTTGACTTAAATTTTATATTTCAAAACAATCCCAGGCAATATCTTCTCTAATTTTCTATGATGAATGAAATAAAGTGAAAGACTCCAAATTGCTTTAAATTTTGCAAAGACATAACCAGAAGGTGGCGCTATTACTACATGACTATACCGTACATAGTAAGGCACTATTCACTTTCAATGTCATAATAATGGAACGCTAGGATTTTAGCAATCCAAATTAAATGCTAACCCAAATTCAGCAGTAATTGCAATACATGTCTTAAGTTCGGAAAATATATAATTTTCAAAAGTCATTAAAAATAACAATTTTGGGGGCTGTGTGTAACATGCTAGGTTGCAAATACAAAATACAAACTCATCTATATTTTTCCTTACGTCCTATGTAGACTGGCAAACCCTTCTAAAGACTAAGAAGATTCTCACCAAATCTGGTATTAAGCTGTGATATCATGGTGCTTTTTATACAAATACTTCCTGCTTCACCAACTGATAAAAGTCTGAGCATCACTGAAGGAAAATTCTGCAACTAGAAGTAAAAGGCAAGCCGAGGGAGGGATTTCTTTTGTGAAAGCAACGAAGTTTAGAACGTTCTCATTTTTAAAAAAATAAAACATTTAAAATACTCGTCAGAGGAAGAAAATGACGTTGTACCAGTTAATAAAAATTACCAAGACAGAAGTCCTTTATCCGATTCCATTATTATTAGATGCTGGATACATAGCAGACACAAACTATTCGTTAATAATAGCGGGTTTGCAAGAGGAAGCCTCTAACGCGTGACGGGGAGTTCTTCATGAGCGCACGTCAGCAGCCCACCTGAGGATGAAAACACCTTCTACACTCCGCCTTCCTCACGTCACGTCCAGTCTAACCAATAAACAAGCACTGCAAACGGCCCGGATGATTCGGACGATGCTCTGAAGCCAACACCTTTAATTTTGCTTTTGAGACTGTTTTACTTAAGCAAAATAAGCAAGCTTTTTTTCCCCTCAAAAGATTCGTTTTTCTCTGTGCGATAACATATCGAACTATGCCTTTCGAATGTTACTAAATAGTCTGTCCTTACTTATATAAATTCAGGTCAATTAACCTAACACATTTTGTACTAGTTCTATTTGTTCACACAGAGGCAGAACCGACCAAATGAGAAGTAAGTTAGAATTAATTTGAACGGTTTATTCTCAAGTCATTACAGTGTTCAACCAGTTTGATGTATAAAGATAATAGACATAAAAGTAAACACTGGGAAGCACACATACATTCCCATTCTGAAAGACGTTATCTGTACAGAAAAAAAATGCAGCAAATATTAAGGTATTCGAAGTAATTTTTGGACAATTCGGATGTGACATATTTACAAGAAAAGTATAAGTTTTAAAATAATTAAATAATTTTCATAGAATTATAAAAGTATTGAGATAAATATTAGGAGACCCCAACAATCACAAGAACACTTTCCTATGCTACCGAATACAAGGGCAGTTCCATAAAAAGTCCCAAAATAGAGCTAGTATTTGGCCTCTATGAAATATATCAAATTACCAATACCAAAATATGCTAAAATAAACATGCATTGTGGAAGCTGTACCAAAGAAAACAGCATTCGGCTCCTGAATATCACAAACTGTCTACACACGATCTCTTAGTAAGTGTGCCATGAAAAAAGAACTTTCGACAGAGCCATTACAATGGATAAAAAGTGACAATCACTTAAAACTTTTTCACTCATCATTTTCAAATGTAGCTGCAAAAAACAAAAAACCTAAATGTTTAAAAAATATTAGCTTATGAATAAAAAAAGTTGAGTGGTGCATCATTATGCAGCTGAGTTTTGAAACGGATGCTATGATTCTAGTATAAAAGACAGTCACCTCTGATTCCACCTCTACAGCAGGAAATCTCTCTCCAGACATGAAGTCGTCTTAGAAAATGAAAAGGAGAAACATGACATGTGTGAATTTAAAACAAAACAGTACTGTAAAATGGTAAAATAAAAAAAAATAAAAAAAAAAATAAAATAGCAGCATGTGAAATTCAAGACTATATTCTTAAAGCAAATGTTTAAGACTGAACCGCAAAAATGGCACTTGCTCAAACGGTCGATTATTCAACACCTCGACCTAAGGATTTTTTTAGAAGGGTGCTTATATTTATGACATCCCCGTGATTAATGTATACTCAAATTTGTGTTTTAAAATACATATATTGCACAGGTAGTAGAACACCAGCGCTCTGGTATCTCTAACATAAAATGTTTTCTTATTTAACGTATTAAACTATGCTACTGAAACTTAATTTGATTTCGATGTTTAAAGCCAATCACACAGGACTTTTGAGCACGTTAACAAGATGGAAAACACAGGCACTTGCATAAAGGTTGTTGGTGACAAAAAGTAGAGGCCACAACAGCATGACCCAGGGTAGTATGTCTTTACATATAAACTTGAGGTCTTTCACTGATCCAAATATAGAAATAAGAACTATGTACAAAACTTTGATAAGAAAATCAGATCTCCCAGAAATTTCATCCTAAATCATTTTCAGTGAATAAAGCAATGAGTGCTTCAAGTCCTATTCAAGCTTTTTCAAACGAACATCCAAGATACAGCTGTTTAAAATCTAATTTTCCCCTTCTCTCCACCAGAGTACAACTCACGAGCCTCACTGACAGTCCAATAACATCCTCTATGCAAAACTTATCACTCATCTTGAGACCCAGGGCATCAAAAATCATGTCAAAACAGTCCACATTGTCGTATAAATTTTACAGCACCACAGACATCATGACTTTAGATATCTTAGTCTGGTAATATTTCATTCAATAATATTAACCAGAAAGAATGTGTAAATATCAACATCTAATAGGAAATCATAGTAGCATTTTAAAAAGGACCAAAACAATAAACATTTTTAATGTTTTAAGTTGTTAAACATTTAAATTGTCAAAATCACTAGGAAAGAATATCACGCACACATTTTCATCACCCAAATGAGAACACACGAAACTTCAGACAGTTGATAATGAGACACTTAGGTTTTTCTCTTTCTTTCCTTATTTTAAAAAGAGATTACATGTAGTTTGGCCACTCCAGATTCTTGGTTTACCAGCTTATAGAGTACATCTAAGAGGCAGTATGATATGCGCACTGAAAACCATTTTGCCCTTTACCATCTTTGGCTAGAAGCCTCATGAAAGGAAACCGAGGGGGTGAGAGGCAGATCGGGCTCCGCGTGCTTCCACCTTACACATCGCTGACTGGAAGGGTGGCGTCATCCAAGTCCACGTGGTCGCAATCTTTTTCCTGAGGGCCGTTTTTACTTTGAGGTTTTAGCAGAGCTTGTTCAGTCACTTTGGAAGCTGGTTCTCTTGGAGAGACAGTCTGGACCTTGAAGTTCCCTGGCTTGACCTTGGCAAGAGATTCGTAAAATCCTCGCTTCTCCACGGTAAAGCTTGAGACCAGAGAGTGGCTGCGAGAGGCTGTGGAATGCGAGGCGGCGGCGGCGGGGCGCAAGGCGTGCCTGGGTTCTGCGCAGCTGGGATGCTCCTGCAAAGGGGAGTGCTGGTCAGACAGAGTCGGTCACAAAGGCCCAGGTTAGTAACTCAGTGTGAGACTTTACTCTCTGAAAAACAAACCACACGCACACACACACGAACAGAGCAGAAGCATGAGCCATGCAGCAGACATGTGCAAGTTCTCTCCCAAAGCGATGCATTTTTAGGAGTGAGTTTAGAGCGATGACGGCCAACATTTCCACTAAGAAACCAGTTCTGTCACCAAAGCCAAATTTGGCAGCTTTGACACTGAAGATTCGGTCAGCCTAAAATGGAATACAGTGGTCCAATTGCAAATGAAGTGTGTTAAAAATAAAAAGGGGGCCTACCAGCTTTATTGTTTTATTTAAGTTTTTTTTCAATCAGCCGTAGAAATTATCTCACGTATTTTAGAAAGATAAAAAATGAAATGTAGAATATAAAAATGAAAGGCCATATTTAATAAGCAGAATTCGACATCTTTCAAAACGACTATTTTATCTGGCAGTCTGACAGTTTTTGCTTCCCTGAATTTCACTGCAACTCACTTATTAGTCTTTTTTTTTGCTTTTTAATTGCATTTATTTAGTTTTGAATATGTCATACATTCATATGGCTTAAGATTTTAAACGTAACAGGGTACGTATTTAATCATTTGTAACTGGCGAAATCAACAGATGTGAATATTAATTTCAATATAATTCTAATGATATCAAATCTGAAGATATCCTTAAATATGACCATTCTGAGTACATCGCCACACAGTTCCTAGTATATCGTGTTCATTTATGATACCAGTGGCTTTGAAAACAAAGTGCTATAAATTACTAACACGGTAGATTCCTATGAGATGGCTAAATTTCACCTGAGATTTAAAATGCCATGCAAACTACAGTAATGGCGAATTTATCCAATGCATGAGTTTGCGCCCATTAGAACAAAGGCACATTTCAAGTGGTAGAGTATAAAAAATTTTTCAAAATACATAAGATATAAAAATTGAAATGCCTATGGCAATTAGGTGAATTAATTTTAGAAGATAACTTAATATGACTTTTTCGATTAGTAAAGTTCTATTTTTTCATTATTTATCTTTTTTTTCCTAAATGCATCTCCAACCTGATGACGGTAGTGACACAGTTTGCGTTAGTGTTGACAAAGTCAGTTACGGTGACTGCAAAAGGCAGTTCAGTGAACTCAACTTTCTAGGATGAGCTGTGAGTAGTGTGAGAAGGCACGTTTGCGTGAGAGCCCACATACGTGCTGCATTCCCCGTCCTTGATGTATACCTCTGTATACAAGGGTTCGACAGCCTTCTGGCCTGCCGCATCTGGAACACAGTGCAAAGCTAAGATTAGAGTCAACCTGTACTGGGGAGAGGGAGGAAAAGAGAAAGTTCTGCTGACAGTCACAGCTAGACAGTCTAGTTCGCCCCCACCACAAAGCACAGAACACAAACGCCCTTCTACGACTCTTCCTCTTCCCAACAGACGTCGTTTTTGCAGAGAGTCTCATACTTGACTGCTGAAAGGGTCACAGAAGACACAGGCAGTTACCAAATTAACACCCAAGGAAGCAGCTTCTGAGACATTCCAAAAAGAGGTTATAAAGAGAATGAATTAAGAAATGAGAAAGGTGGATTTGTATATACTGATTTGTAGTTATTAATAGCAAGAGACTATGAAAAGATAATATCACTACCAGGAAAAGACTAAAAGTGCAGAATTCTAGCTTTTACAACGAATCCGGATAACAAAGGCTATCGTGCTACATATCATATTACATTCTGCAGACCAAAGTGCTACATTTCAAGACACTTAAAATATTTTTCATTCCTTAGTAGAATCTGTATTTTCACATCAGACCACTGACCAAAGTATCTTAAAGGCAAATCTTATTCCTATGATGTTCTTGAACATGATAAATTATATATTAAAAATATTTTTCTTACTACTTCTGAGAATGTTTAGCTGTTTCAATTTTATTATTCTACTATCGCAAAGATAATTAGGATTGTGGAAGGGGAAGCAACCTTTTAAATTAACCTATGAGAAAATGAGAATGAAACATGAAATGGAAAATACTGACTGAGCAGCACCAAATTGTACTTAAGATTCCAGCTGCTCAATGGTCTTATGACATTACTGAGCATGCATAGATAGATAGATAGATAGATAGATAGATAGATAGATGAAACCCAAAACAAAAACAGGAAAAAAAAAGTTAACTGAAATTACAAAAAGTAAAGAAGAAAATGAAGGGTTCACTAAAGGTGCCTTACACGACTGGGCCACGTCCAATACTAAGAATTAATTGGTCAAGTTATGCCAGATCTAGACTTACTGACCAGTAAGAACTCCTAAAACAAAGGAAGGAGATGTTCATTCCTTAGTTGCCCTGCTTGTGCATTTAAGACAATACAATGCACAGAAAGTTATGTATACATAACACTACAAGGAAGCACCATATTAGAAATGCATTATATTTTGCAAGTCCAATTGGTATGAAAGTCACCATGCAAATAAATCTCAATACAGAAAGAAACCAGAAGGATTAGGGGGACAGAAAGGAAAATAACTGGACAGGATGGAGGAACCCGAGCGTGTCACCCCAGAGAGCAGGAAACATACAGAAGACGCCGAGCGGCCAGGCCCCCGCTGCGCGACGATGGCACCGGACACCGCCTTAATCCAGCTGTGCATCTCTTCAGGGCTGTCGGCCTACGGGACAGAGAGGGCTCGTTCAGTCCACTTTCCCTCAAGATCGGCTCCTGTGGCCGTAAATCCAATGTATGCATTTTGGTAATTAATAGTGTCGACGACAAAATCATTCTAAGGCAATCAATGGTTTCCAAAAAAATTTATAAATCACTTCTTTAAACCAGGCTTTGCTGGGTAAATTATTACACAGAGACGTAAGTTGGGCACTTAACATTTGCAGACCAGACACATCAAAACGTGTCAACATGAACACTTCCGTAGGGAAAACGAGGCGAGGAAGAAGTCAGAGCGCTCGTTTTGCTTTTTCGATATTAACTGCTATATTGTCTGTAGTTGCTGCAAGAATATATAATTGTATATAGTAAAAAACCATTTTGACATCATTTTATATATTATTTTTCTAGAAATAATTTCTAGCAGTGCCATAACCCTAAAAGACATATTTCTTGACAGGATCTTGGCTTCCAATGTGAATTAAAAACCTTACTATGACTTCAATCCAGTTAAATTAGGCCCTAAGAGGGGTAGAGAGATATTGGCCTTTACTTCTAGATTCTAGAAGTTCAAAAATTTTAAAGATTTAAGGTAATATTTTTAAACCAACAATATTAACCAATACTTTTTCAAAGGAAAAACTCGAAGTAGGCAAAGGTAAAAAGTACACTTTCATTCGGTGCAAGTCTAGAAACTCATTTGGCAAAATAAAGAGGTTCGAAAGTTTTGTGCTCTAATAGTTATTCTTGATCTAGAACCTCATCCTAAAGAAGAAATTAAGGCAACTTTACACACAAAAATGTTCATCACCATGTTATTTATCATAGTAAATGCATGAAAACTATGTAAATCAATGATCAGCAACAAAGCAGTAGAGAAACAGTTTAACTGTGGAACATTCACATGACAGAGCACGAATGTAATTCCAAAAGGTTTCCTGAGAATTTTTAATGCTGTAGAAAAATGACCATAATTTATTAAACAAGTAAAATATAACATCATACTTCATATGACCACTTGTTATAAAAATATAAACCTTAAGAAAGGCAGTAAAAAAATAAGAACAGCTGCCTGACGGTGGAATTCTGTGTTTTATAAACCACCCTTTTCTTCCTATTTTCCTGTATTTTCTAAATTTTCTGCGTAAGTATATGTAAGTTTCATAAAACAAAATGTTCTTCTAAAAACTTCAAATTTAACTAATGTAGTAAGTAAAAAGTGTATTTTAAATTTAAATACAGAATGCCTATCTACTTTTAGTGACACTATGAGATCTACTGTCTACTTTTATTGCGGGTATTTAAGGCCCCCCCTTTTAGAAAGTTACCAAAAAATGACATAATTAAAATTCCAAAGCACGTGCAAAACTAATCCAAGTTGGAAGTATGCACTTGGCATCTAAGGTAAAGTAGCACTTCCTCCAAATGCTGCACGTTTCTAGTCGACTAACTCAGCAATGAAG